TGTATCCAACAAGCGGAAATAATACATGGAGCGTCAAGATTTTGCCGATAGAAAATTGCGCAGAAGATTTAAAAGAAATCTTGACTAATTTATCATATGTAATAAAAATATGTAAAATGTAAAACTTTGTGTTAAACATGGGAAACACATGGGACCCATGTCATATTTTCTTTATGTCTTTTATTTTGTTTATGTTACGTGTTAAGTTTTGTTTAGATAAAGTCAAGTCACATGCATGTTGTGATTGACATGAGGTTTGTGTAATATTTATCTTATTCACGGATTCAAAAATTTTGAAATCCGGACTTCTCTATATAAAGAGAAGCATTGTACATGTATATTCAGAGAAAATTAATAATACTTTCAGTTTGTGATAAATTCTCTCAATCTCTTGTTTACTTTTAATTGTATACTCGAGACAAGGAAAATATTTATTCAAGACGATTGATATCCAGGTATGAATTAATCTGTTAAACTGAATTTATGTATTTTCTTTCTAATTAATCAACTAGGTTAATTAGTTATTAATTGTAATAATATTTATAAGACTGGGTATTATAAATATTATGTGGGTGTAAATGGTATCAGAGCTTTAGAAAACGGAGGGTATAGGTATTTATATCTGTTAACCTGTTGAATCATTTGGTGGTCTAAAGATAAAAGAATAAAAAATAATCTAATATGGTGTTTCATGTTTTAATTCATTTGGTGATAAAAGAGCATGAATTGAATTCTGTTCACACGGAGGGCGAGCGCGAATTAAAATTAGTAAAGAAATCATAGGGTTGACTCAATCAAAATATCAAATCATAACGCTGCTCATTTGGGAAAAACTGAAAACTTCTTTTTATTCTAGCTTTTATTTTACATATGATGATGATCAATTAAACAGTTTCTTATTGAATACCAATATTGCTTTCAATATGATTAATAGAATATATTTAAGAGTAAATGACTTTTTCCTATCCAAATAATAGTTTAATGAAACTTTCTTACTAACAGATTTTTAAAATATATTTTACCACTCAAATTTATATTTTTTTTTTCTAGCATCGTTATGATGTCACACCACCACTATTCTTTTCTCTGATTATCACTCACCAAAACTTCTTAAACTCTACTCCCGTCAACCTCTTCAATCATTGGCAATCGAGTGATTAGAGTTTACACAGTCGTCTCTTCCAAATCAAATTTCGATAAATTCTAATCACCAAAATTCAATTTTTTACCATCAAAAGACTCATCGACCTCCCCTCTTTAAAAGTCTCAACAATTTGGATGGAATTTGCTCTCTATTCACTATTAGAATTTAAATTTAGATAATAAAATGGTAGTTTGAAAGTTTGTGGATAAAAAAGTATCATTAAGCCATTATTTGGGTGAGAATAGTCATTTGCTCTATTTAAAGACTGTAAGAAAATGCCACCTTTGCACAAAAGTCGCAATGTTTCAAGAATCCCAAGAGAAATTTTTTAAGGACAAAAGTAATTAATATTATCCTTTGATCAATATGTGATTCATGAAATCAATATTAACCGCTTAAAAGAAGATGAAACACGTTGTTAAAGATGGCAATGGGCTTGGTATTTTTGGGTACTCGATTCAACCCATTCCAAAAAGGTCGAGCTTTATTCGATATTAATAGGTTTGGGCTTAGGCTTTAGGACCCATCCTTGGGTACAGGTTAGGCATGGGACAATCTTCAGTCCTAGCCCAGCCCAATAATTTTACTATTAATTTTATTAAATTATCCTTATAATATATATCTAATTACATAATTATCCTACATATATATACCTTATAAATGGAAATTATATAAAAAGAAATGAGGATGGATTGTTATTTATATATTTGGTGAGTATTCAAAATAAATTAATATTTAAAAACTGTTTCTAAAATTAAAAATATAAAAAAAAATTGAAATTTATTTTATTTCACAATAATTATTAAGATTACTCTTTATTAATTGTTTCTAAAATTATAATTATAATTATAAAAATGGGTCGAGATTGGATTACAAAAAGCTCATCCGGCCAAGCTTGGGCTTTACCCGTCATGCTTGTAACGGTCCCGAGCCTGTGTCATGGGGATTAGGCTGGGCTCGGGCAAAGGGCCTCCCAGTCCTGGCCTGACCCATTGCCATCTCTAGACATTGTTTTGCATTTTTATCCTACATTCTCGGTTATTCTTGCGAATACACAACACAACCAAATTTGTAATTTTATTTTTTATTTTCTTTTGGTGTTTGTCTCGCCCCAATCAAGGTGGGGATTCCCCACATTTTTCGGGTAATGGGGTGAGGATGGCCAGGGAAAAAATCCCCACCCCGATCGGGGCGAGACAAACATGGTATTAGAGTATCTCCAAAAGACTCTTTATTTGACCCAAACTCTTTATTATAAAGAGTCTATCTATAAAAACAAGAGTCCAATAGGCTCTTTATCTTTAAAATATAAATTAGAGAATGAGTTTGACTCTCCACATTTCGAGAGTCAAATTTCATTCTCTATCTTAATTTTAATTAATAAACTATAAATTCCTATGCATTTTATTTAGTAATTCTCTCTCTCATTAAGTCTCTTTCTTAAAAATAAAGAACATCTTCATTAAATTTAAAGAGTCTATTAGATTTGAATAAAAATTGTGTTTTTTATATTTAAAAATTAATAAAGATGCTCTTTATTTATATGAAAGATGTTTTTCAAAATAAAGAGCACCATCAGAGATCTTCTTATTGCATTAAAACAAAAAAAAAAAAAAAAAAAAAAAAAAAAAAAAAAAAAAAAAAAAAAAAAGAGTTCAAACATGGCTATTCAATTGATAGATTTCTCAAATTTGTGTACATATACTGATATACATGACCTGAATTCTGTTCACACCAAGGCGAGCGATTAAGTTTAAATTTGGGAACTAAAATTAATAAAGAAATCATCCAAATTGAGACTAAAGATTAGGGCTGACTCAATCAAAATATCAAATCATAACGCTGATCATTTGGGTTCTGACTTTTATTTTACAGATGATAATAATCAATTAAACAGTTTCTCATTGAATGCCAATATTGCTTTCAATATGATTAAAAGAATTTATTTAAGCACAAAAATAGACTGACCAACAAATCTCATAAACACGACGTGACAGTTGAGTTAGCAGCTCCTGCCATACCCAAGACACTAAATGACTTTGACTAAACACGAACGGTCGTTTCTTAGGGACGAACGGTCATTCCTTCATAAAGAACAATAATTTCTTATGAATGAACAACCAGTCTTAGGGACAAACAATCATTTCTTCATAAAGAACAAAAATTCCTTATGAAGGAATGGTCGTTCTTAGGGACAAACGGTTATCTTTCGTAAGGAATGAATGTTTCTTATGAATGGAGCAACCATTCTTTCTTATGGAACAACCATTCCTTATAAAGGAACAATCGTTCCTCATGAATAGAACATCTGTTTCGTTTCTCATGAATGGAACATATGTTTCGTTCCTCATGAATGGAACATCTGTTCCTCATGAAATAGGGTCTAATCCCGTAAGGTTGAGGCTATTGACAATCCGCTGGACCTACACATATAGAAAGACAAGCGTGAAGCTTATGGAAAATACCAGGGTAGTGTTTGTCGTAAGCACTCTGACACTCAAGTCAATAAAGCTGAAAGATACGATTTAATGAGAATTAGGGAAAGAAAGATTACTAAGAGTCTTGTCGGAGGCTAAGACCACAATAAAGGTGTAGAATTCTCGCGAGCAAGAATTTCGGAGTAAGGAGAGGTGATTTTGAGTAGTCAAAATTCAATCAATTATGAGAAGGCAGGCCTATGTTTATATAGTGAACCCAATGGGTTAGAATCCTAGTAGGACACTGAATCCTTTTGGAGATAATTACTATCGGAAAAGAAATAAGATTTATTGTCTTTATCAGATTAAGTGTATTAATTTGAGTAAGATTTAGAATCTTAGTAGAAGAGAAAATAGAATAGAGCTCTGATTTCCTATTTATGGACCGTTGCAGGCTAATGGGCCGGAACCCAGTTTAGCTTAACTTGTAGGGTAGCCCAACTCACAGAGTAGGCATTTCAAAAAGTGAAGCGTAGGTCTAACCAGGATTGAACTAAAACCTTGGGTTGTGACATGTTTATTTCGCTATTGAACCTCGTTAGGCCCAAGACAATTTTTTTTTTCCATACAGTTTCTTATAAGTGAACGGTCATTCATCCCTAAGGAACGATTGTTCATATTTGATCGAAATCATCAATTGATATGATAGTACCAACTCAGATACTACGTCGGGTTTATGAGAAATATTTATGAGATTCGTTTCTCATGGTAAAATTATCCTATATTTAAACAGTTGTAAGAAAATGCCACCTATACACGAAAGTCGCAATGTTTCTAGATTCCCAAGAGACATCTTATAAGGACAAAATTTGTAGAACCATAATTGATATTTTTATTAAGTAATTAATATTATTCTTTTGCCTTTTCTTTACGACTTTGCTAAACCTAAGAATAGATTAGGGTCTGACCAGGGATTTTGATCAGCAAAATATTGATAATCTGTGATTAAATATTATCTACTATTTAAAAGAAGATGAAGCACATTGTTTCTCAACCTCTCATTACTGTATATTGGCTGCCCCTTCATCACCACAACAAAAATTATATATCATGATAGTAGGTGATGAATGTTGTTAATATCTATAGAAGTTTTACTTGCTAGTAGCCTTTGTAATTGTAGCAATCTTTACTCCATCTAGATGCTTAACAACAAAAACGAGTTTGTTTTTATTTTTTTATTTTCTTTAATATAAAGCTGGTTGTGGTCAACAGTCAACTATAAATATTAGCTTGAATTGCACTTTAACAATTAGGAAAAATAAAAACGCTGTCTCAAACGCCAAGCATGAGCTTACAATACATCACCATCAATTAATGGTCATAACAGAGCAAAAGATTTTTAATTAATTTCATAAAAGTCCAAGGCAAACAACAGAATTTTCAAGTAAGCAACAAAATATCTCAAGACAAAACGAAATTTTTTAGGATAATTTGCAGTTCCTTCATCTTGGTAGCATCAACAATGTCTATTCCATGATAACCTCCGTCACAGAAATGACTTTTCACTTTTACACCCTTTTGCTCTATCATTTTCACCAACTCAATCTGACGGTCAATCATTGGGTCCCCATTCCACCCTGTAATCACTACCTTCCATTCTTGAACCCTGATTTGGTCTAAGGCCTTTGACTCATCCCCCACCGTTGGATTGCAGTACTCATGATCACGGTCAACCCCATGTGGCAATGATAAATCCCACATTAAATCACTAACACAAGCTGGAAAAACTGGATTATTCATCAACCTCAACTCTGATTCGGTCCTTTTGACCCCACCTATGAAAGGTTGATGCAATATCAGCCCTTTGACCTTCAGTGGAAATAATTCATCAATTTGCGAAGCTGCACGTAATCCTACATGATACACAATGTTGCCGCCTGCACTCGTGCCCATTAAGAAACATGAAGACAAATCGGCATATTCTTTTAACCAAACTTCTTGAGTGGTCCTGATCCAGTGCAGGGCTTCCATGGCATCATCATAAGCCGCCGGGAGACGGTGCTCTGGGGCAAGCCTGTACTTGACTGATAGAACGACAGCAGGGAATTCAAGTGCCATGTTTGAGCAAAAATTGTGAAAAACACTTGCGGCTACGTTGCCGATAATAAAGCCCCCACCATGATAGTAAACAATGAGAGGGAGCTTGACGGTGGACGAAGAATCAAGTGCTTGACGGGGAAGGTATATGCGAACTCCAACGTTGTTTGATTGGTTGATGGAGATATCTTTAGAGGGAATAGTGTGGTGAGAAGGATCAGATGTGGCGGCGGCGCCTGATAGTAAACTGTGTTTGCGAGTGATCGTGCCATCCGGGTTGAGGACAATCTGAAGGTATTCGTAGGGATCAAAAGTTGCAGGTAAAGCACTGTTGTGTGACATTTTAGTGGTTTTTTCAAAATTCTTGTTGGGGCTTTTCTTTTGCTTTTATGCAAGGTTACTTCCTCTGCAAGTCTGTATATATTAAAAGAGATTAAATTAGGTATATATTAAACAATAAGCTGATTACGTGAGTTAATGCAACTTGTTTGTATTTACTATTTAGTAACATATATGAAAAGTGGTGGGTTTTATTTATTAATTTTGGTTTGGTTTTTAATTATTACTACCCAATCGCAGATAATATATATATATACACATTATTTTATTGTCAAAATATAATCTTAAATGCGTGTCAACTTGCAGGGACCGTAGCTGCAGGCCTGCAACAGCATGGAAGTTTTTAGTCTTTGCGACCTAAAAGAAGATGGAAACCACCATGGGTGCTTTGATGGGAAAGGGTCTAATATGAGTTTTTAAGTTCGAGTTCTCTTAAGTATTAATAAAGGTAGTAACTAAGAGGATTTATGCAGTCATTCATTTCAAGAACTTGAGAAATTAGTTGAGATAAGCGTAAACTGACTCAAACACTCCATATCATTAAAAAAAAAAAAAGAAAAAAAAGACAGAATAATTTTCTAATTTAATTGAACTAATTTGTAGACATAATATCCAATAAAGAGGAGCAAACGTAAAGTACATCAACACAAATAAATTTCTAAAAGTGGTGTGAAACTCAAAAGCCTCTTAATTATTGTAATGATATTTGAGGATTAAAATTTATATTAAAAAAGGATATTTGCCGTTGAAGCTTGAATATGGACCCGTTATACTGGGTTAAGGGTCAGTCAATTAATAGAGAGGTCTTATAATCCCAGTTTAAACTTGGGCCCATAGAGGCCCCATAAGCAATCAGGCAAAGACCTAATAGGATTTTAAGGGGTGGGAAGTGATTTTTACCCCCACCACCTAATTGATCTTCACCCAACTTTTAAATTTATTTTCTATTTTAATAAATTTAACCTTAATTTAAATTATTAGAAATAAAATTATAATTTTTAAATACACTCAAGTTCTATTTTTTAATTTTTAACATTTAATCTTACATAAACTTTAACCCTAAATTTCCATAACCTCATCCTACATTTCCATAATCATTGAAACCTTTTATTTTAAATATTTGTTTGTTTAATGAAAATATAATACTAAAAGTATGGAAAACATAACGAGTTGAATATGAATTTGAAGAAGATAAAATAAGTTTAAATTAGCAAATTGAGGGAAAAAAAAGCGTAAAGAGAAAACCTAAACAAGTTTGAAGCTTGAATATGGACCCGTTTTAATGGGGTAGGGGTCCATTAATACAGAGATCTTCTATTATCCCAGTTTAAATTTGGACCCGTAGAGGACCATTAGCAATTAGGGCTAAGACCTAATAGGATTTTAAGTGGTGGGAAGTGATTTTTACCCCCACCGCCAAATTGATCTTCACCCACACCCACACCCACACCCACACCCACACCCACTTTTAAATTTATTTTTTATTTTGACAAATTTAACCTTAATTTAAATTACTAGAAATAAAATTATAATTTTTAAATGTGTTCATGTTCTATTTTATATACTGTTTTAATTTTTTACATTTTCCATAATCTAATTATAGATTTCCATAATCATTAAAACCTTTTTAATTTATTTTAAATATTTTTTATTTAATGAAAATACAATGCTAAGTTTGAAATTGGGGAAAATAAACTTAATTAAGCTTAAAATGTTATTTTCAGTATTAAATGGGATTTAAAGTGTTTCTTTTTTTAATTATAAAAGATATGTACTTAGCCACGGCGGGTGAAGATCAATTAGATGGGAGTTAAAAATCACTTCCGTTAAACTGTTCAATTAATCTCTTAGTTATAATTTTTAGCCCCCCTTGAATTGATCAATAACTCCGTATTTCCTATTTTTTTCGGCTTTGACAAATTTATTCTTAAATATAATTACTATAAACCCGAAAATTTACTTATTTTATATTTATATTTTTATCTTATATCTTTATTTCTTATATAAAGTCTTACTTCTTAACATTTTCTTTAATTACAAGTTTATCCTTAAATTAAATTATTACACCTACTTTAATCTTTTCTGATCTTATAAATATTTTTTGACATCCCTTTTTAAATATATCTAAACTTAATTGTTCATATTCTTATTCAAGCAAAAGAATATATATATAGTTTTTTAATAGAAAAATAAGTATTGCATTATGATACATCATGTCACTAACAATATAATATTATAAGTTTGTAATTTCTTCTGAAAATTTTAATCTAATTTCTACACTTATTTTTCAACAACATTCTTACAACGCTTTAACGATCTATTTGAACATGATTTCTATAATATCACTCAATTATTTCTGAAGTCTTTTTTTCTCTCTCTTCCTTTTAATTATTTGTCTTAATTGCCAACTCCCATAATTAATGATCTATAATTAAAAGGCAAACCAACCCCATATTTAATGTTCTATAAAGGAGAAAAAGTAACAAATTAACGTCATAAAGCAAAAAGAGATACTAAGTACACATATTTATACTTAACAAATTAAAAGCCCCACAATTACACTCTCTGATAATCAGAATTCGGTGAAAAATGAATGAAATAGAGAGTAATACCAAAATAAACACACAAATCAAAATAGTAAAACAAAATAAGAGATACTCGTGATTTACCCTAATTTATTTAGTTAATTAGCTACGTTTAGTGGAGTCAATATTATTTCAATATTGTTTCACCTCTCTCGTTTATAATGAAGTAATTTGTCCTATAATTACTATCACGTATTAAAAGAGAAAAATGTTTTTATATACTAAGTTTAAAAGACTAAACTTAGTTTTACAAGGATTCTTATTCGTAAACCCAAACCCAATGAGGAATTAATAACTTAAAGAAATTCTTTAACGGAACCCCGAATGCGTCTGCGTGACCATTAATGCTGAAGTGGTTGACAACTCCAACAAAAACTAAGCTAGATTATTAAAAAAATAATGATGTGTGAACAAAAAAAATAAATTAAATTGCTCTATGAAGGTGTATAGGGACTCTTCAGTTGATCCTAGGGTTATATGGTTGCATTGCATGTAGAATTTACAAGTGCAAATGCGTTCTGATGGCATTGAAAGTGAAAATGTTGCGCCACCACGATCGAGACACTACGGCCCTACGTGGAGGAGCAATTCTACTGCCTTCTCAACATCAAACATCTTCCACTTATCGCAAATCATTCTCTTCCTTTATTTCTTTTATCAATTCAACCCAAATCTCAACCAACGCCAACTTTCTTTCACCCTAATTAGATCAAAACATAAATTTTTTCTCTTTCTTTAAAAGCCACAACGTGTATTACAATTTGCACCATATTATAACAACAAATTCAGATAATTATAATGCATCTATGATGTAACTTAACTTAAAACGAACGTAAATGCAATGCTACATGTACCATAGCGATCGTAAATGACCCTGCGAAACAATCATAAAACGAAGATACAAATTAAAGAAAGAAAAGAAAAGAAAAAGAGTTAAGTTCGATTAGATATATCAAAGCATCGATAAATTGAATGCCCTGTTACATGTACTGTTACATGTACTATAGCGACCGTAAATGGCCCATCACCGATTAACAGCTACTGTCAAGCCACAGTAAACATGCATATATCTCGAGATGTACCAATCAAGAACTTCGAAGAAAAACACTGTTACATATATCTGTGACTTCTCAATCTAAAATAATATATTTTCTAGCTTTGATGTGATAGATAGTGACTAACCGTTGCAACTTTGCAAACCCAAGAAGCCGCCCATCAACAGACAACAGCAGCCGCCATTTGTTTAACTTTCAAAATCAATCTCATCATAACTGCATCCCCTCATTAAATTTTATTAAGGTATCAAAACTGCAATCAGCCAAAAGCCACCGCCACCGCATCATTAAAACCCCTATAACCCTAAAGATCCAATTCACATTACTAACCAGAAAACATGTACTATTGCTCATTAATCTTATATACCAAAATGTTTGGGCATAAATATAGATATAGATACATATGCATAGACATAATAAGCATATCTCATATAAATGCTTTTATCTTCATCTATATATCAATCATCTATCAATCACTTCAATAGGGTGCAGTAGAGGTGGCTGACAGAGACGACTGCAACTGAAGCAGGTGGTGGTAGCAGTCGGCGGCAGTTGGTCTCTGCTCTGGGTTCTGGTCCAAACATCTGATTTGCAACTCTCTAAGCATTTTGGGCACATTGCTAAGCCCACAGGTTTTCACCAAATGGCCCACGCCCCAAACGTCAACCTTTACTCCATGCAATCCCCTCCCCATTTCCGGAGCGTGTCTCCCACGTGCCTCCACTCCTGCCACCCCATGTGGGTATATCTGTGGTGCCCCCACCGCCTCATCAAACCCACAAACTAACCACTCGTTTTCTCGGTCGCTTCTTCTCATTACTTTGTCCCAGCTCAGGTCCCTGTGCATGAAAGATAAGTCATGTAATGCAACCAAGGCTTTGGTCACGTACTTGAGCGCCTCAACGAGTTGATCAAAACTTGTGGGCTTAAACTTGCACCCTCTAGGCTTAAACACCAAGGCCAAATCTTTCTCTGACGAGCGGTATATGGACTCGGAGTGTGGAATTCGGTGGTCTAGGAAATCGTATATTTCTTTCACCGCTGCCCATTTTCTCTTGCTTGAGAAAAATCTTGTTACAGTGTTTGGAGTCACTTCAATGACATTTCCATTACCCATATCGATTCTTTCAAAATCGCTGAAAGGATACTGCTTGTAATTGCAACCATTGCTGTTGCTGAAGCAGCGATCTGCTAGCAATGGCAAAAGGCCTGCTATTCTATAACACGGGATGAGGGCTTTCAGTCTCTCAACTGGTGAAGAGAGGTCGAGTGAATATAAATCAGTTCTAATGACGCGGTCTTGTGACCGGCTCAAGGCACAGAAGGTCACAATGTAGCCAACTGCATAGTAACCAAATAAGTATGGAAGATCCATGTAAGTCCATAATAGCTTCTCAACTATTGAAGATGAGGGGTCAAGCTGACCTTCTCTTAATTGATCAGCTTCTTCTCCACGCCACAAACAAAAATTTCTGACAAAACCAGTCACATTTGGCCACTGATCCTGCAATGGTTCAGGTGATGACGAAGAAGATTTTCGTACAATAACCATTTCAACAGAACAAAACTTGGACACGATCCTATTGATGCAATCATCCCAAACGCCAATGAAAGAGTCTCTACTAGTAGCAGTGCCCACACTGAGGCTAGGGTTATTTCGGATAAGTGGACTTAAAATATCGTATATAATAGCTCTACAATCTAACAATTCATTTGAAGTGGAGAAGAGAAGCTCTTTGCCTTGTGGCAAGTCTCTATAGACATCTTTTCGGAGTGGGAAACGTAATTCCTCTGGCGGTGGTTCTTGTAAATGCCACGACAGCTCGAACAAGCTCGGTAGTGTTGTTGGTGGAACACGCAGACATCCCACGTAGTAGTCAGTTGGGTCTTGATACTCCCATGGAGATGGAGGGATTGCTAAACCAAAGTAAACCACAAGAACATATATACATATATATATCACTCTTCACACGTACGTATGATGAAGATGGCCACAGTAATTTCGCAACAATTTCAAAAATTATTAAAGACAATATATAAGACTTACATCTGACGGAGTGTTCTGCGAACGGAAGCTGAACTCTTTCGATGAAACCTGTCAACAAAAATAGAGAGCGAATGCGTGTGTAAGAGAAGGGATTCATAGACACCACAAAATAGGAATATTAACAAACATGTTTGTACCGGAAGAAGCAGAAGTTGAGGAAAACTTTCTTCTCCCAAAGACTTTGACTTGTTGTCCGGGAAGGAATCTATCTACAGAAAAACCTCTTAGAGAACCATCTTCGAAGGCTTCCATATTGCAAGCAACCATTGTATCATCAAAGAAAGTAAGCTCATCTGCGTTAAGAAAGCTAGAACCTTGAATTCTAATTCTCCCTCTGTGGTGCTCTCCTTCTTCAGCCCACAAACTCACTGATTCTTCCCATGTCATTCTTATTTTGCCAATTCTTCGAAGTTCCTTGGAAGAGGAAGATGAAGTAGGAATAAGACCTACGTCTATTGGAGACTCAAACCCTAGTAAACTCCCTCTACCACCATGAAAGAAGGCTTCAGTTCCACTTGTCATCACCAGTTGCTTTGCCCTCGCTAACAAATAAAAATAAATGCTGGTTACGGAGAACAAAACCATAAATAAAAAACGAAACTTTGTAATATATATATATATATATATATATATATATATACCTGAGAGCGAGAGGTCATCATCTTTGAAAGGAGGGGGAGGAGGAAGAACTCTGGTATTGGTGACAGTTGTTCTACTATCATCACCAGAAACAACAACAGAAGCCCCTCTGCTCTGAGGTGTTCTCATACGAGAACCCATGAACTGAGATAACTCTTCAAAGACCTCTTCGTCAAAAGAAGCTGGCAATCTGTGTAGCTTCCTTTCATAAGGAGAGAGTCTAAAATAACTCTTTCCGGCTTGTTCTCGTTCACCGCCTCTTTCCCACTCATACACTTTTCTAAATTCACCCAACATGTTATCCCACTTAGTCCCAGCAGTTTTAGCATCTCTGTTGACACCATGCCTTTGCAAGAACTCCGCAACTTCTCTATCTTTATCGGCCCTTGTTTTTCCTCTTGCTGATTGAATCGGCATCTCGCCGCTACCGGTGACGTGAACGCTCTCTGGCTGATCAGTTCTAGAAGATAAGCCAGACCCATTTGATCCACCTTGGTACAGAACCTTCCAAGCCCTAGCTAGCCACAACATCTCGTTTGGTTTCCAAACTGGGCTCACATATTTTCCTTTTCTGAACTGGGGTTGTAATTGGTCACCCTCTGGTTTGTTCGTCTCTTGACCAGAAGCTGCAGAGAGAGAAGGAATGGGAGAATGTGGAGGAGAGGAGGTTGTCTCGGAGGATGAAGCTGCAGTAGTGTGAGCTTGAGTTAGTGGATTTGTGGGGTTTGTGGTTGGCGATGGGGTTGATTCGCTTGTCAATATAGCCATTTGGGTTGTTTGCTTTTGTTGTTGTGATGGGGATGGTAAAAGCTTCCATTGACTACTATTATATCTTTGTCTCTTGGGATTCACAGAATCAAATTGTTGTTCAAACGGAGTCGGAGTCGCACCAATTGGGACATATAAAGGAGAAGAGATGAACGGAGCTCCGGTTACCACAACGGGCGGTGGTTGTTGATGTTGAAGTTGCCCTTTTTCCGTCGACTCCTCGAGTGGGTTCTTGGGAGAAGATGACAGTTGTTGTTGTTGCTGCTGAGGTTGCGGTTGCGTTTGCGTTTGCTTCTTGGTCGTATCTCCTTTGTTGTCACCCATCTCAAATGTTTTCTAGAAAAGACTTTCACTTTAGAGAAAACTCAGCCAAGACCCAGAACAAGAAGAACAAACACAATTGCACTTGAACTAGCTTGTTTATGGTTTAAAGTTTCTGTTTCGTAGTCTTGCTATAATTCTACAAGGGTCTTGAGTTTTGGCGTTGAATTGCCACCGTATGTTTGAAAGGGAAAGTGGGAAAATATTTAAGAAATGATAGGAAGCTAAAGCAACATAAAAGCGAAGAAGAAAGACATAACAGAAAAAGTCGAGATTGTGGAACTGCCATGAATAAGACTATTCAGTTAATTATCAGTTTAATAAAACTAAGCATTAGTATATGTAGTAGATAAATTAGAAGTGTGATTTTGACAATTAAAAAAGAAAAGAGGGGCCTACATTTATACATTACATTTAAACATATATACATATACGTATATATATACATATATGCATGATTAGGAATGGGTCATGATTGTACTGAATCAGACTGAAAAACGGGGCTCTAAAAAAGAATTAACATTGTTTCTCGATAGCATTTAATGTTATGGGCGTCGTTATTCTTGTTTGGAAAGTGAGAGAAAAAAAAAAAAAGAGAAAAGGTGATCGCTTTTCTTGACTTCCCGTAACGAGTGAGGGAGAAAGTGGAGACTGCGACTGTAAGAATAAGATATATAGATGGAGAGTGTGTATTGGATTCAGAAGTTTAGATGTGGACACATCGAATCTATGGCTCTGCTCCAATGACTCATCACTTCTTTAGCGACTTATTTTTGTTTCTTTCACATCAAATAAGATAAAAATCTTTTAATTTGGGCATTGCCCACCATACCCGATTAATTATAACAACCTATCTCATAAAAAATAGGGNTGAGGGAGAAAGTGGAGACTGCGACTGTAAGAATAAGATATATAGATGGAGAGTGCGTATTGGATTCAGAAGTTTAGATGTGGACACATCGAATCTATGGCTCTGCTCCAATGACTCATCACTTTAGCGACTTATTTTTGTTTCTTTCACATCAAATAAGATAAAAATCTTTTAATTTGGGCATTGCCCACCATGCCCAATTAATTATAACAACCTATCTTATAAAAAATAGGATTAAGTTGAGCATTTAATTTCAAAAATATTTGTCAAATGTCAAATATTTGCCATTATGTAAAGTTTAATGTGTGTAAATAGTGGAGGTGTCATCATATTCATAACGCCGACGTGGTCCAAATAAAAAGAGGAAATGAAGAAGAAAGATGCCATGAAATAGGGCAACATAAAAGGAGTAGGGGATCTTCATTAAGTCTTTTGTTGGTGGTTTGGGTGATATGTTTATGTAAACGTACATTTTCTCTCTCTAATAACAAAAAGGCGTCCAGGCATGTAGGCCAACACACCACAGACATGACAGTGATCGAGCAGTAACACTGATCACCAACCCATCGCCCGAACAACCCAACCACTCCTCCACCCGCCCGCCCGCCACCCTAACTTTTACCCCTAAATTCAATGTCCCATCTTTCTCTTCTCCTTCTCCTTCTCCAAGCCTAACATTCATTCTTTTCTTCCCATTTATGCATAATGTGAGCTGTTTATCTTCATTATATGTTATGGTACAATTAGTCTTTAAATGTTCATGGGGAATGTTAGACAATGGGTTCGTCTTCTGAATGTTAAAAGACACCAGTGATACCATCTATGATCAATTACATTACTTTTTATGTTTCCCTTTAATAACATTTCAATAAGCATTTGCACTCTTTATTTTAGTAACTTCATTTTTTTGTTGATATTTGATTTTAAAACCAACGACTTCGCATATGTAAAGTGTTAAGAAATCACATATGAACTTATTATAGTAAGTGGATGAGGCACTGTGAGTACAGTAGCATGCAAAGAAGTAAAAATAAAGTTAACAAAATGATTTTATAATAGTTAAGGTGCTTAAGCAAATCCTAAATCTAATGTGTTCGTTTATATAAATATTATTTTCTTATCGCTAAATAAGCTTATAAGAGGTCACGAGCTGCGATATGATATTACAAGTGTTTGGTGTTCTAAGTGTTTTTAGAGAATGTCAAGCCAATCTCTTTCTAATAATGTGTCTTTGCTATTTTCTTTATTGAATACGTGAATGTCTAACATTTTTTTAATGAGAGAAAGCTGCCTATTTATACTCGTGCAGCTCAAGGTAATGATTACATTTTGCAGGTGCCCTGATGTCGTGTAGATCTTTCCTGCCTTCCCATTCGATGAAATTCAAAGAATATCCTTAAATTAAATAGGGTTTGAACAGGTGTGCAAACCAAATTTACTCAGGCACAAATTCTTGAGTCGGTTTGGGTCTTCGACAACTATATTTCTTTTACCTTTGGAGGCGTGTCATGTTTTGGATGGTAGAATGACTTCCTAGATTCTGATTGGTGCTTGATGACATCAGCATACGTCAACCCTTAGTTTAGGCATAACACTTTTGATTCCTGGATTAAAAAACATAATATGTGTTTGTTTACTTATTGAGATCATTATTCTGAAAATTAATCCGAATCAAATAAGATTTTTTATATTAAAAATGAAAAGAGAGGACTTGTTTTCTATTATTCTATTCCATTCAACTAAAAACATTTTTCCAATCCCATCCAATTAAAAACAATTATCTTTCACTCCTAATCTGAAAATTAATCCATCCAAGACCACCACCACCTACTAGCAACAATCGTCGACTGCCAGCATCGGAACGACGGACGATCAGACAGATTTGGTCGACCGTGTGCCGATCTAGCCGTTGACGATAGGGGTGTACAAAACAGAATATCCGATCCGGTTGGGGTTTATGCTGATCCAATCCGAATCCAATCCGGATTTTTGGATATCCGATTTTTCGGATTGGATCAACCGGATATCCGAAAATTGATCCGAATTTAACAAAAACGCTTCTTTAAAATATCAAATTCCTCCATTCTTCAGTAGACAGAATTTATTAAAATTGAAATAAAATAATGCATGGTTACCAAATTATTAAGCCACAAGTTGATGTGCACACATTAGAGATTAAAAGAAGCTAAAACAATAGTTTTGAAAGATCACTGAATTTTATATATATTTATAAGAGGAATCAGCAGATGACATCAACCCAGATCCTATCGCAGCGACTAAATTCTTTTTCAGACTCTTCTAATTTCAATCTGAGGCGGTCAACTATACAACTCAACAAACAAATTTAAAAAATCACCACAAAGCATACATTGTTCACTGTTTTTGGTAAAATATTTGAACTTCAAATTGAAATTAACCTTACTTGATAGCTAATCAAACTGAAAGTTACCAAATGAACCCAGATGTTAAAACATAACCAAAAGATAATACAAAAGGAAGAGATTATGAAAAGCAGATTCATTGAGTACTTTTATCGAACAGATGATGGATTGACTCTACTTTTATCTAAGAACAAACTTAAAAATCGTGGAATTAGCAATCCATAGCAAGAAAATAACTCAAAATCGTGATAAATAACCAGTAACCACAAAATTCGAAGCCTAACCCGAATCATGAAGAAACCGAAGAAACCGAGTCGTGAAGAGACTTGAGTCTTGAGTGAAACTGTGAAACAATAATGAAACTGAAGGAAACGGAAGAAAAAAGCAAAGTAAAAATACCAGATTATGAAACGTGAAGAGAGTTAAGTCTTAAGTGAGGAAAGAAAAAAAGCGCCGATATTGTTCGGAGTCTTCCATCTTCTGTTTTTCATTGTTAGACTTGGCAAAACGATATAGGATTATATGTTTTTTAAAAAACCAGATCAGATTCGGATATTCGGTTTTTTTTTCCAGAGCCGATCCGAAAATTCAGATATTTCAAAATTGCAATCCGAATCCGATCCAGATTTGCCTATATTTAGATTTTTTGGGATTCGGATCGGATATCAGAATATTTTGCATACCCCTAATTGACGACGCCATATTATGGTCATAAATCTAACTATTTTCGACCAGATCTACGAAGGATCTGACCTGAAAGGATCAAATCAGTACACGATCGACCAGATCCGATCGGTGTGCGTCGTTCCAAAGACTGTCGATTTTCGTCTGACGGTGATGGTCGACAGCCAGCAATGGCTTGGGTGAGTAATGGTATTTTTGTTCATTTTTAAACTTTTATTGTGAGGGTATTTTAGAGAAATTAACAAATTTAAGAGGTTGAAAAATAATTTAAAATTTTTCAGAAAAAATGTTTTAAAAAAATGCATCAAAAAACTTTTCAACTTAATCTAACTCGAATTCAATTTAAAATAGTTTTTCAAAACATGATTTTTCAAATAATCTACCTATCAAAGCCCTAAACTTTTAGGATAATTAATGATGATATTGGACATTTTGAAATCGTTATGCTGTTGTATATTTAACATTTTATATATCATTTTGCTGCCTTAATTATAATAAAAAGAATGTGATGATCTTTTTTCTTGCAAGACATGAATTGATATTCGATTGGAAGTCAAATTATGGTGTACGTCCATTTACTTTTTACCAAACAAATCTCATAAGTATCTCTAAATTATTATTTATATGATGTAAACTCTTTATTATAAAGAGCTTATAAATAGAAATAAGAGTCTAACATAGTATTTATTATTTAAATCTCTTTGAGACTGTAAATCTCTTTGTGTCCAAGTTGTGGATCTAAAACGAAATGACAAAGAAAGAACATTAAGGATTTCTTCAATTATGTAAAACAAATGTTCCCCATAGTATTATGAAATAGCTGACAAGTTACATCAAATTCAGAAAGTATGATAGGGTTATGGAAGTCACTGAATCAACATGAATTTTGGGTTTTGATCCAACTGTTAAATAACTTCTCTCGTGAATACCATTCATAGATTCAATTAAGCTTTTTGTTTTCTGAAATTTTTTTGATATCGGGTGTGCTTTGCAGCCGCTGTAAAGGCTGCCACCTTGAAGCTGGACCATCATATTCATAACTCAATAAATATAGAAAAGAAAAAAAGAAAAGATGAAGAGTAGGTTGGATTTTTCACTGGTCCCTTAAAATTCATAAACCGTTAGCAATAGAATAGAAACTTTTACAGAGAATGAAAAGGAAATGGTATCCGGAAGTCTAGTTGATAAAGCTTATGTAAATAGGGCGGCTTGGCTAAATCTTTTTGAAAATCCAGAGCATGAGGATGTCCAGCTAATGTTGCCATCAAAGGATACAGATTACAAGAGAGAGATATTGCAAATGCTTTTAACAGTGAAGTCTGAACAAGCTGCTTTTTATCTTTTGTGTGGTAGAAGAATTGAGTTTGAGGTGAGCTGTGAATTCAATAAAGAAGTCTCCCCAGTTTAGTAGGGGGCCTTAATTAGGCAGATAGGATAACTAAGTCTAGGTTTGCTCCATCTATTTTATTTTATTATAATACCATAAAAACATGCATCTGGGGATTTGAGATTGTAATAAAAGCCTGCTACCAGACTTATTCTGCCTGCCCTTCTTTAATTTTTTTCACTTTTCTTCTTTTTCTTTTTTTTTTGATAATCTTAATTATATTAAGTTAAAATAGCAACCAATTTTTTCAACTCATCACTAATGCGCTTGCTGTTGCATAACTATTTATTTTATTTGGGTTTATTAATTATGCTATTTGTTATTGTAGTGGTTAATTTTATTCAAAGTTAATTACAAATTATCATTCGGTGGTCCAATTAGGACTCTTAGATGTATTACTCAAAAAGTTCTGAATTCGATTCAAATGAATTATTGATAATAGTAACCATTGAGTGGATTTACTTGGTTATCAACTTCAGTTCCCGAGAAAGTAGTTAAAGTACGCACAAACTGATTCGGATACTCCTAATTACAAAAAGCAAAGGTTAATTTTCACAAACGGATAAAAAAAAAAAGGATTAGATTAAAATAAACTCTATATATATTTTTTAATTTTCATTAGAGCTTTGTTAGAGTCATAACCTCTTTGAGTAAATCGTGTTAGATTTCAAATTTTTGGTATTACCAAAAGTAAATTTGTATTTAATGAGTTATGGTTTACTAGAATTAAATTATGTATAAAAATAAAATTTAGATATATGATTTTATAGTCAATAAATGCTTTCTTGAAAAGAAAAAAAAAAAATGCATGTACTTCCATAAACACTATAAACTCCATTCATATTTTATTATCTTTTCAGTTCTTCATTATTTTACAGGCCATCCTCATATGGGAATTCTAGAATGTCCAAGTTTTCCTCAACATTTCTAATTTGAAAGAGAAAAAAAGAAAAAATAAAAAAAGAAAGGATGTGGATAACTTGACATAATATGCCTACTTATTGATGGGCATTGTGGGAATTAAAGTTTTTTCGAAAAATATATATAATATATGATGGTGACCAAGTATTAATTTCTAAAGCCTACTCATAAGTCATTTTTGCAAGAAACATGTGTCAATATCATGGACCCATTTCATGCAATATATAAACTCTATAAATCCCTTTTGTTTGCCTCTATATGTTCCGTTTTTATTCTTCCTCCTCTACTCCATTAAAATGATCTTATATGTTTTATATAAATAAGCAATCTGCAAGGATACCCTCTTTCTATGTGTAAAAGTAGAGATAAAATCACGTCTGTTCACTCTTTTTTACATCATGGGGCCTTTTTTTATTACAATGGCCCGATGTGATTGACATGGACCCAATATACTGACAATAAGATTCGGCCTAGAAAGTCATTGATAATGAGTTTGAACTTTCTATATGGAAGTATAAATTAATCAATGAGAACTGAGAAGTAAACAGACAAGCAAAGAGAGAAAAAATGATCAAGTTTGGAAGACTAAGTCATATTTGTCTTTAGAATTTGCTTTAACACACAAGACAAATAAACATACATTTCAATTTCAAAACTTAATCAAATCAAAACTCTCCTATAAAAGAAAGAAAAAACAAAATTTTACATTTAAATATATAAAGAGTAGTACTAATTCTAAAATCCAGCCAATCTCCTCAAATTGTTCGCTTGTTCCTTTCCATACCCTTCAAAATCAGTATCATTATCGTCGTTTTCTTCATCCTCTTCGTCCACATATTCCACATAAGTCATCTCTTTTGTCCTCCTTACACCACACTTTAGCCAACTCACCACTTCCAGCATTGTAGGCCGGTTATCAGGATTACTATCAGTGCATGTCATTGCGATCATGACCGTTGATTTCAGCTGATTACGGTCAAACTTACCCTTCAATCTGGGGTCTGCAATATGATCAAATGCACCCTTTTGAACATAAGGAGTGACCCATTGCACAATATCCCGCTTCACTCCACCGGGGAGTTTCTCTAATGGCTTCTTTGCACTAATTATTTCTAAGAGCAAAACCCCAAAGCTGTAAACATCACAACTCTCAGAAACTTTCCCCCACATGGCGTATTCAGGTGCTAAATATCCAAGAGTTCCCTTTACTTTAGTGGTCAAATGAGTAACACCATGTGGTATCAGCTTTGCGAAACCAAAATCTGCAACTTTTGCTTGAAATTCTGTATCTAAGAGGACATTACTAGCCTTTATATCTCTGTGGATTATATGAGGATCGGCCTCGTGGTGCAAATACCTTTCCAAAAAATAGACACCATGAAGCATATTATATACTATTTTCTATATAATAATTTAGACATTTACCAATAACGACAATCATATACAGACAATCTGATGGATCAAAAAAACACTTACGCTAATCCCTTGGCTGATCCGATGATTATGCTCATTCTCCGAGGCCAATCAAGTAAACAATCTGGGGCGAGTTGCCCATGTAAATGGGTGATTAAACTATGATTATGCATGTAATCATAAACTATAAGTCTTTCATCTCCTCCTGCGTAAAATCCTCTTAAACCCAACAAATTCTTATGTCTCACCCTTCCGAGTATCTCCACTTCAATTGCAAATTCCATTTCTGCCTTTGCGCTCATCGCCTTCAATCGTTTCACCGCTATCTGCAAGTTAAAACCCTCAACTACTTTAGATATTTTTACAGAACAACTAATAAATTAATCACTTCTATGCTAAATTATTACTAGTCGTTAGCTTTTAATTACTTTCATCTTCTGAAGACAATTGCATCTAATTAAAGATAAAAACAGGATATTAAACTTGATTGCATGCCTCGTTGCCTTTACGTGTTCGGCCCCAATAAACACTGCCAAACCCTCCCTCCCCGATTTTGTTATCATTATGGAAGTTGTTTGTTGCATGAAGAAGCTCCTTGAGCGGGTAAATTTCCCATGGATAATCCCTGTTGGTGTATATACTACAAATTTCCATAAAATGAAAAGATTAATTAGAATCATATATTTTATCTAAACAATTTGCACTTTTAGTTTATTATGTAATCACACACTAACCTGATCTCCTGTTTCTCTTCCGAGACGCAGCAAAAACATTTCCAAATCATCTTTGACGTGTAAAATTAGTGGACAATGGAAGGTTATTGCTGTGGATCAAGCAAGAAGAGAGCAAAAATTTCGGTGATATTGAAGCAGAAACAAAGAGTCTTATGTAGAAGACAAAGGACAGCCTCGGAAGTCAAGGAGTTTGTAGTGTGATATAATGTGAAAACAAGATGATTATGCTGATGATAAAACATCAACCTCCTGTATTTTAATGCTTGTTGGGTTTCGCCCAGCTATCTTCTCATTGGAAATGTCATATTTTTATATCTCTTTTTAAACATTCCTAGGAATATTTTATTATGTAATATGAAGTATATTACAAGAATTAATTAGATGTTAATTTGATAATCATAATTTAATTATATTTTATGGTCAACTGAAAGTGACCTTAGAAGTCCAATAAGTACTTTATTCAAGAAACTAATAATATGGACGGTCGATATCACTTGATCAATTGATTGACCAGCTCTTTATGATATGGCATAAAAATAATAAGGTTTCGAAATTCGAATAGCTAGAAAGAGAAAACGACTTTTTCCCACCCAAAGTTTGCCTTAAAGACACTTTGCACCAATTTTTTTTCTTCAAAATACCACTTTTTCACCCAAAATTTATATTCTGTTAATACTCAAAATACTTCACTTTCTCAGTCGGCATTCATTGAGTTATCAAGAGTTAGAATAAGAGAGGTTTTGTTAGAATAAGAGAGGTTTTGTAGAATGAAGGGTGGTGATCGATTGAATATTTGCCGTCGAAATTAACTAAGAATAGGAAACTCTAGCTTTGTAGTGGTTGACAATTGGCGAGAAATCAAGTGTCGAGTGAAAGGGTTTTATAGAGAGGAGACCAGAGGTTCAGATAGTGGTGACGGCGAGAATTTTTGCCACCGGAATTGACTTTAGACAGTAACAGAATATTAACTATAGGTGAGAAAGTGATATTTTGAAACTTTTTTGGGGTGGGAGAGTGTCATTAAGGTAAAACCTTGGGTGGGAAAAAGTCGTTTACTCGATGAGAAAATGTCATATTTCATGGACAATTAGCTGTACCTAATTCATTAACATCAAAGTTGAACTATTCTTTTAATCATAAGCCAAAAAAATAAGAAAGAAAGAAAAGATGTAACATTAGCAATTTAAAAATGACAAAGGAATACAATAAAATAAAAAAATTAATATTTAATTTCAAATTGACTATATTATACACACATTACAGAAGAAAAAAAATGATGAGTTTTAATCTGATATGTTTATGTGTGATTCAGCAGTGTTGCGCACAATTTTCCAACGGTCAGATTTGTGTCACTTGTCTACAAATCATACCGAGATGTAGTGGTTAGTATCGTTTCACATGTCACTCCCATAACATATTACTTCACAAACAGGCTCATTAGAGTTAAGTATGGGCATTCAAACTTAAGAATGGAAGGGGTTGACTTAGATCCAGATTTCAGGGAATGATACATGTAATCCACATCGTAATATCAACCCCCAACCAATGTTAGACAGTATGTATAAAAAGGAGGCATCACCTCTGTTTTGGAGTATCAATTATTCACACAAGCTCAGGAAATCATTTAGAGAGAGTTTTAGCTAGCCATTACGAGTTGTTCTCCTTTAATCATCATACATGTAACCCAAATACAAGCAATAATATAGCAGTAGACGTAGACTTGGTTCTAAACCGTCGAACAACTTTAAAAATCTATTTTATCATTGCTTTGTGAATTCTTCAGTCAATTCCTAATTGATGAATCTTAATCAAGCACACATCCTATCAAATACCACCTTTGGTAAACTAGGTATCTCTAATTGTTGAGATTTTCGTAACAACAAGAAGTATATACTAAAGGTAACTTAATTGATGAATTGGTAAACTAAAATATTCTGGCATGAGTTAATTCATATACAAAATGAGAAAAAAACAAAATTATACTTTAACTCATTATTGGTTGTCATTTATAATTATATAGCCGTGGAACAATCTAACAATTATGTGCGACCACGGTTCTTTTTTACCAATAATATTTGCTTTAAATAGTAATTCTCTTAATTTTACGGGAAATCAACATTCATAGGGCAGATCTTTATGTAATTAAATACTAAGACGCCACATATTTGAGAATCAAAAAGTTAGAACATAATTTTTTTTTTTTAAAAAGAAAGAAAAAAATGTAAAATTAATAAAGCATTTTAGGGTGCATTATAGGGTTATTGGGCCATGCAGTCTCAAAATGCTTATTTCGTTCGTACAAATTAGGTGGGCTTGAATATTCCGGCAGGCCCCAAACATATAGGTCGAGGTATCAAAATTGGGCTTCGTGAGCCCAACAGTTTCGGCTAATTTCTGAATCCACAAGGACCACAACCATAAGCAGGGCCCTGTAACACCAGAGATATATCACAGTGTTGGCGTATTAAATCCAAATTTCCAATAGGATTAATGGTGCTCAAGGCACTCAACTGGTTCTTGAAGTACTCCAGTTATCAATTCTTTTTTTTTTTTTGGTAATTTCCTTTTGTTTTAAATTACCAGTTTATTTTCAATTGAAATTGCAAAATGCAAATATAATCCTATGTACACAACATAGTTGTTTGAGAAATCTTACTCCACAAACTCTTAGTCTTCTTTTACTCCATAAACCTCTGTTAAATTTTCAAAAATAAATTTGAATTTTTTACATACTTTGACCTAGTCTTATAACGTGACGAAGAATGAAATTATTCTATACCAGTCATAAAAAAAAAAAAAAAAAAAAAAAAAAAAAAAAAAAATCTTCTGGTTTCTTTCTCAATTTCCCTTGGATCACTAGCTAAGTATACAGCAGAAACTTAAAAAATAATGCTCCTTTCTTCTATCATAGAATTGTACTAAGCCCCGATGTTTGTATATTTCAGCATTTGTATTTGTTCTTAAAGCATGAGACAAAGTCACATAATCCCTTCAACTGATTTGAAGGAACTAATAAATTGAACTTGAGATAATATTACACGCTGAGAGCTTCCAAAATTATGGGAATCTAAATTGAACTTAAGCAATGTCTTCTTTTTTACTCGATTCTTACAGATTTGGCTCTGTGTTTGATTGGTAACTGGCTTCTCTCTTCCAAATCCTTATACCCACTCAAATTAACGCCTTCTCTATTTGACTGATTAATTCTGATTCTTACATATTGAAACACAATATTCCAGTCAAAAAATTTTCCCTTTTAACATTTATTGGCGATTGTGAATAAAAACCCGAATTTAAAAAAAAAAAAATGTATATATTCGAATTTGAGAATTTTGCAATAGATGCCTGAAGACAGAATTTTTCAGCCAAATTTCACTATATATGACAATTCTTCATATGCATTTCCATTTATCGATGGTTGTAAATATTAAAAATATAAAATTAGTCAAAATTTTAGTATACAATTTTTCCAAGTAATAACATCTTAAATTTTTTTTAATTTGTATACAAAGATAGAAAGGTTATCGACTAAATATTAGTTTAACAAAATGTACAATAAAAAATTGTCTAATGATGAGTTTTTATTCCCTATTCATACATCGGAATAACCAACATATATCTTTATAAAATCATTATACAATAGATTGTTAGGGCCAAAAATTGTCTTTGGCTTGACAAAACCCAATAACGAAATAAACATGTCACGGCCCAAGGCCTCAACCCAATCCTGATTGAGTCTATACTTAAAATCACCTTGTGAACTACCCACTCTATGAGTTGGGATATCCTATAAGTTAAGCTAAATTAGGTTTCAGCCTATTAGCCCGCAACAGTCTATAAATAGGAAATCAGAATCCCATTCTATTTCCTCTTCTACTAAGATTCCAAATCTTACTCAAACTATTAAACTTAATCTGATAAGGTCAAGAAATCATATTTCTTTCTTGATAGGGATTATCTCCTAAAAAAGATGACTCAATGTTCTACTAGGATTCCAACCTCTTGGATTCACTATAAAAACAGAGGCTTGCCCTCTCATTAAGGGACAATCTCCCATAGTCAATCTACACTACTCAAAACCATCTAGTTGCTCCTAAAGTTCTTGCTCCCAAGAACCTGACGCCTCTGCCGTAGTCCTAGCTTCCGACAAGACTCCTGCTAATTCTTAATATTCTTAATTCTTATCAAATAATCTCTTTCAGCATTGCTGACTTGAGCGTTAAAGTGCCTATGGTAAACACCACCCTGGTGTTTTCCGGAAGCTTCAAGCATGCCCTTTCATGTGTGCAGGTTTAGCGGATTGTCAGTGGCCTCAACCTCACGGGATCTGACCCTATTTTTATGATGGTAGATTTTTTGCATCTACAGTTTGACGCCCACCGTGGGGACCTAACAATCATTTGCCAACGACGACTTACAACATGGGAGGCGACACGGAACTCCTTTTGACTGACAATGTTAATCAGAAAATCCCATCACGATAAGAATTTTTTTTTCTTCGTTTGTTTTATCTATTCACATGCCATATTGTATCTATTCGGCATATCGTAATTTATTTTATATTATATCCATTCAATAAGTAGTATAAAACCTTGAACCTCATATTAATTTTCTAAATTAATAATAACTTTATATTATTGTTCTAAATTAATAATAGAATAATAGTGTGTCAGAGTTTAAAGTGGTGTTCCTGAAACACTTGATTCATTGACTTTGCTTTAACAATCTCTCTTCTCTAACCCTCTGTTCAGATAAGGCAATAGCTTCTGTCTCTACACGCGCCTTTTCACTTCAATCACCAGGTGGTCCGCCACCGTCATTAGAGCTTTGCAATGCATTACCCGCCATAAAACCAGTCAATTTGTTCATTCAAGAAGATGTCGTAATACGCCAGCATCTCCAAGACCTCCGCCCCATTAGAAGGTAACTCAAAACTCGACCAACCTTGATCCAATCCTAATTCAACTTCACGGAGATTTTCCACCACTTTGAAACCCAAAACTCGTCCACCTGTTCTTCTAAAATCGCCCTAACAGCTTCTCCAATCACACAGTTAAATCCTAAAAACACAGCAGTAATCCTCTCAAAACACCCAAAGTCATCTACTAAACACGAAGAGAAACCCCCCAGACAAAACCTGCTTAAGTGATGCCACCCCACTCTCGCCAAATCTC